TTTGCCCTAGCCTAGGACCCCATGCCGCCATGCCTCTGTCACCATAACTGACACATAAAACTCACAGCCCTGATCGCTTCTGCTCTTGGTTTGGAAGCTTTAGCCGTGGCCAGGTGTCCTGTGGCATTGAGCCTGTGGTGGACACAGGAAGGAAGAAAAGGGCCCGACTACCTCTCTGAGGACATGATCCTAGTGAGCCGAAGGCCTCCCACAATGCTCCCTGCTGAACATACCGCCACCACCCATCGGCATCCTGGGCTGGGGCTGGGCATAGGGCACATGGGCTCCTGAGGGTAGGACTGTTTCTGAGCACCTGTCGTTCTGCAGAGATGCAGGTCTGGAAAAGTGAGGAGGGCATTCTAGGGGGGGCCCTCATGCGGTAATGAGGCCCTAGGTGTTGTGCACTTCAGGTTTCTGGGATCTGACGCTGAAGAAGGGTCTTGGAGGACACCAAGTTCATGGAGGACATGGTGTGTTTGGGAAACCTCCGTCTGAAGGGTCTTTTGCTCAGGTGCCCCAGGTCCCTGTACTACCTACCTACACACACACACACACACACACACACACACACACACACACACACACACGGAGGAGCAGGCAGGAGACAGGTTCCCCAGCCAAGGAGATGAAGAGCTGGGGTGTGGCTCAGGGGGAGTTGCCTGCCCTTCATGCCCAAGGCTCCGAACTCCAGCCCCAGCACTGCAGAAAAGGAAAGGGGGGGAAATGTCACACGTAAGGGAGAATTTCTCTTTCTCAAGGGTGCCAGTTTTGCCAGGTATGGTGGTACATACCTGTAATCCCAGATACTCTGGGTGGCTAAAGCAAGAGGGTCACAAGCTCCAGTCCAGCCCGGGCGGCAACTTAATGAAATCTGTCTCAAAATTAAAAGAATCAGAAGGACTGGGGTGTTGCTCAGCACTTCCTGGGTTCCATCCCCAGGATCAGAAAAAAGGAAAAAAAAAAGTTTCATAAACCCATCTGAACTGAAGAAGAGTCTGGCACTGCGTGCTAACACACTAAGCTTCAGGGACACTGGCTGAAGTGCCCCGTGTGCCCCTGCAGTGGACAGCCCCTGTCCATTCCACTGGATTCTCCTCCACCCTCCAAGATGGCACAGGCCACTGGTAAAGACAGGTGCTGGGCACTGGGGGCAGCTGTGCAGAGGCTCCCTGCATGTGCTATGGCAGTGGAGGCATGGCTAGGGCAAACTAGGGGTCTTCTAGGATCAGACGTGGAGGCTTGTGGCTCTGCTTAGGCTCAGGACACTGTGTAGGAGGGTCACTTTGTCACCTGGCCCTGTGTGTGCCAGACTGAAGCCACTTCCTCCTGCTAAGCTGTGGTGACCTGTGTTTCACCCCTACCTATAGAGGGTGAAACAGAGGCCTTTAGTGTGCACCTTCTGGGCGCTAGGTAGTGAGCCCTGAGGACTGCTCAGAACAGGACTCTGCAGCTCCTGTCGCCAGCTGTCCACATGCAGCGACAGCTGCTTCCCCCCAGCAGCACTTGTGTCCACCATCTCAGCATGACACCACCCCACCCCAGGTAACAGTGCTGGATTCCTACAGCCCAAGAGCCCCTCTGCTTGGCAGTTGGGTCCCAACCCAAGACTCTGCCCAGCCCGTCACGTGGGTGTGGACTGATTTTGCTGCTCTGGGCCCCATGGTGTGTGGCCTCATTGCTCAGAGGGATGTTGAAGTCATCCCACCTCATGTGTCTCAGCAGTGTGTTCTAATTTTGTTTCTTGGGTTTTGTTGGACACGGAGCCTGGGACGCATAGCTGTGCAGAGCCCAGCCCGCCCCGTCTGACAGTCTCCTGTCCACAGATGACTGACGTGCTGCTGTATACCCACCCCCAGAAGGATGGGAAGTACCGGCTCAAGCGCTCGCTGCCTGTGGCGGGTATGAAGGTGAGCCAGGGAACACGGCAGGGACCAGCAGGCAAGCAGCTCAGGTCTCTGGTGGCCTGGGGAGGAGCCTGGGCCCTGCAGTGGTGACATGGGGTAGACAGGAGTTGAATGGGAGCTGAGGAAAGACCACACTGGGTTGCCATCCAACTCAGTCCTGAGGGGACACTGGGGGCTTGAAGGATTCTTAAGTAGCAGGAGGCCTAAGAACATTCATCCGGCTCCTACCTGGGACCCAAGAGGTGATGCCAAGGTTGACCACAGGGCTGAAGGTGGCTGTGATCCCAACAGCAATGAGGTGGTGAGGAGGATGGGTCCCTATATGAGGACCCTCACCCCTG